TCTCACATAACATTGCATCAGACCAGGAGCCCAATTTACTACACAGAAGTGAGTCCATGATCACAAGATTCCCTAAGTGACTCACAGACTGTGTCATCTGATGCTATTAGCCTGACAGGGTATTGGAGGGGCCTGCTGAAGGGCCACTTGCAGCACCAGCATGGAGATAGTACTCTCTGAATATGGAGTTTGTATATATGGCATCAAAGACCTTTATGTGGTGCTGTGACTCTGGGCCCTGCAGGGTTAGAGGTCTTTGTCCCCAAAAGGGGCACATTCTATCAAGGACATAGCAAGAGCTATAAGCCACAGCTGCCACCTGAGCACTTTGGGCATTTTGTATACAGGGACCAGACCAAGAAGAGGAGTCATCATCTTGCCCACAGGTGATTCACTTAAATGCCTCTTAATTCTGCCTTACCCACTTGTGACAATAAACAGGCAAGGGCAGCCACCCTGGCGTGAGAAGGGTTTGGTGGTCAGTGGGCCAGCCTTTGGGCATGCCATGGAGACCAGTGGAGATACTAGCTGAGGGGGTGGGGAATTTAGAATGGATAATGATGACTGGTCGTGGTGGCTCATGCCTGTAATACCAGTACTTTGGGAGGCCGAGGTTGAACGATTGGTTGAGGCCAGGAGTTCAAGATCAGCTTGAGCAATATAGCAGGACCCCATCTCTACAAAAATTAAAAAATTAGCTGAGCATGGTGGCATACTTCTATGGTCTCAGCTACTGGGGAGGCTGAGAGGTGTAGGGTATAGTGGGGATGCCATTTTATGTTGGGAGGCTAAAGATTGTCCTTTGAAAAAAATTGTTTTTTGAGCAGACACCTGAATGAAGTGAGGAAATGAGCTGTGCAGGTAAGGTGGGAAGAGATTTCAGGCAGAGGGAACACCCAGAGCACAAAGCCCTGAGAGAGGAGCAGGCTTGGTGTGTTCAGGGAGCAGCAATAAGGCCCACGTGTCTGGGCACGGTGAGAGAGGGGATGGTGGCGGTAGGAGAGCCACTGCAGGGCTTTGAGCCAAGGTCATGACTAGTCTGCCTTTGGAGAAGAAACTTCTGGAAACATGAGTAAAATAAGAAAGACCAGTTAGAAGACTTTTCAATGATCTAAGCAAGAAATATAGGGCTTAAGTGAAGGCGGCAGTGGTCGAGGAATAAAGGGATATTTGTGGAAATTGTTGGATTTCAGACCTGTTTGAAGTTAGTCAATAAGATTTGTTGGTAGACTCGATAAGGCAGGAAAGGTAGATTGTTCTGAATTGGTAATTGAGACAGTCTCTGAACATATCACTCCCCTGCTTAAAAATTTCATGACAGCTCTTCAAAGTATGACGTTGGTGCTTTGATGGGTTCTTTGTTTCATATGGAACCAGAACAAAGCCTGAATAGCCAATACAATTTTAAGAAATTAAAACAAATCTGGAGGCATCATGTTACCAGACTTTAGCTTATACTCCAAGTCTATAGTGATCAAACAGCATGGTACTGGAACAAAATAGAGACATAGGTGAATGGAATAGAATAGAGAACCTAGAGATAAACCCAGTCACATGTCACCATCTGATCTTTGATAAACCAAACAAAAGCATGCACTGGGGAAAAGAATCCCTATTTAGTAAAGGGATGTAGAAGATTGAAACTGGACCCACATCTCACCACTGACAAAAATTGACTCTTGCTGGATGAAATATTTAAATTTGAGACATGAAACAATAAACATTCTAAAGTATGCGGAAAACTCTTGACAAAATTGGCCTGGGAAAGGAAAAGATTTTATAAAGAAGACCCGCTTGCTGCTATTGCAGCAACACCAGAAATAAAGGGATGGAACATGATCAAGCTAAAAAGGTTTTGCATAACTAAGGATGCCGCCACTAAAGCAACAGTCTTCAGAATGGGAGAAGATATTTGCATGTTATAAATCTGATAAAGGGCTGACAACCAGAATCTATAGATAACTCAAATTAATTAATAAGAAAAGAGCAAATAACACCATTTATAAGTAGGCAAGAGACTTGAACAGAATCTTCTCTGAAGATGACAAATGACCAATAAATATGTGAAAAATACTCACTGTCTCTAATCATCAGAGAAATGCAAATCAAGATCACTCTGAGCTATCACCTAACTCTAGTGAGATTAGCCCACATTACAAAATTCCAAATCTGCAGATGCTGGAAAAGAACTAGATGTGGAAAGAACATTTCTGCATTGCTGGTGGGATTGCAAATTAATACAACCTCTATGGAAAGAAGTATGAAGAATCCTCAAAGAGCTAAAAGTAAACCTTCCATTTGATCTTGTAATACCATTATTACATGTACTCAGAAGAAAAAAAATCATTTTAACATAAGGACAGTGACTAGAATGTTTATCACAGCTATTCACAATCCCCAAGATGTGGAATCAACCCAAGTGTCCATCAACACATGCGTGGATTAATAAACTGTGGCATATGTATGCCATGGAATACTATTCAGCCATAAAAGATGGAGATTTTGTATCTTTTATAGCAAGTTGGATGGATTTGGAGAACATTCTCCTAAGCATAGTATGACAAAAATGAAAAAGCAAGTATCCAATGTATGCAATACTAATATGAAGCCAGTAGATAAACATCTACATATGCACAGGAAAGAAAAACACAAGTATAGTCTATCGAAGGGGAGGGGAGAGGTGGGAAAGAGGAGGAGGGCGGGAGGACGGTGATTGGTGGGATTTCACCTAATGTGCACAATGCGAGGTACACTGGGTGAAGGGCTCAACTGTAACTTGAACTTTACCATAGAAATAAAAATAATGTAACCTAAACATTTGCAACCTCATTTGTATCAATCTGAAATAAAAAAGAAAGATATGAAGTCAACTTTAAAAATATTTTATGATCAAGTCCAGACTCTTTGCCAAGTCATTTATTAATTTGTTGACTTATCCAACAAATACTGATTGGGCCAGCACTGTGCTATATGTTGTGGACACAAAATGTAAAAAGTAGGTGACAGCTCTCAGTCAGACAAGTGACCAGGTCATTACAACCCATGTGACAATTGCTACAACAGGGGAAGCACAGGGGGAATAGAAACACATTGGGGAGGGAATTTAGAGTTCGTGTGAAGAGGGAAATCGAGTTGAAATTTCAAGAATGATTAAGAGTTGAAAGAGTGGGCAGTGCCTGTGGCTCAAAGGAGTAGTGGGGAGACAGAGGAAGCAGAGACTTGGAGGAAATAAAGGAGGTTCTATATGGCCACTGTTGGTTGAAAGAGAGAAAGAGTCAGCTTGTACTGGGCTTAGAATTCACATTCAAGGGCTTGGATTTTTTCCTAAAAACGATGGCGAGTGACACCACCAGTGTGCCTTTCTTTTTTCTTTCTTTCTTTCTTTTTTTTTTTTTTTGCAGTTTTTGGCTGGGGCTGGATTTGAACCCACCACCTCCAGCATCTGGGTCCAGTGCCCTACTCCTTTGAGCCACAAGCACTGTCCACCAGTGTGCCTTTTTGAAAGAGCTCTTTGAGCTGCAATGAACAATCTGGTGCAAATATCTTTTTTGCCAAATGATTTTTGGTCCTTTGGATGTACACCTAGAAGAGGAACTGCAGGATCAAAGGGCAGGTCTACATTTAGATCCCTGAGTGAACGTTCTCCAGGGAAAAGGGGAAGAGGGGAAGCGGAGTGGGTCCACAGAGGGAAGGTTAGTAGGGGGACCACACCTATGGAGCATATTGCAAGTACAAGTTGGATCTATCAGGTGTAGAACACAAATGTTTTAATGTTGTAATTGGGTAAATGAGGTGAAGGCTATGTTGATTAGTAGGATGTAAGCACTCCAATTTGTACAAAAATCAACACATTGAATCCCATAATGGCATAAATGTATTCATGATCTATGTACAAATGACTTAAAAAAAAAAAAAAGAAAGAAAGAGTTCTTTGGTTGCAGGGCAAATGGATTGGGGGGTGGTGAAACCTGGAGACTGGGAGAACAAATAAGTGGTGGCTGCAGCAACCCAAACAGAGAGAAGGGAAGAAGACAGCTGTATAAGGATTTGGGGCTGTTTTGGAGGTGGAATGCCAGGACTTAGTCACTGATAGGATAGGGAATAAGGGAGAGGAAAGAGTCAAGTAACTCTCAGGTGTCTGGCTTGAGCAGCTGGGTGGGGCCGAAGGCATTCCCTGAAGAGAATACAGAAGGAAAATTAAATCTGAGTCAGTCGAGGACCAGCGAGTTTGAGGTGTTCAGGGACATTCTAAGGAGATGTTCAGTAGGCACTCAATGCGTGGTTACAAAGGTCAGGAGAGATTTGGCGGTCATCAGCATTGAAGCCAGGCCGTGGATGGGATTATTTAGTATAGGTAGAGGGGAGAGAAGAGGGTCAGAGCCGGGCTCAAGCCTCATCTCCAGTTGTTCTGTCTCCCGCGGGCAGCACCCAGAATTCTATCCCTTGTGTTCGGATTTTCCCATCATATTCCTCCCCTGTTTGTGCTCACGCGAGTTTAGTCTTTCTTCTAGACTCCAGCTCAATTATCATTAATTTGGTGAGCCCCCAAACCCCATAGTAACCATACATTTACGTTGTATGTTTCCTGCAGAGTCTCGTTAGTCTCCCAAGGGCAGGACAACATCTTGCGCATCCTTTTAGCTTATTCCCCTCACCTAGAAGAAATACTAAGCACATTATAGGTGTATCGCTGATCGTGGAAATACATGAACGGGCCAAAGAACGAAGGGACATCATCCTGAGGGCTGGGAAGTCAGGAGGGAAAGTTCAGCTCAGCTGGAAAGTTCACTGTAACAACATTGCCCGCTGCGGGGCTGGGAGACGGCTGGAGACTGGCAACCAGCGCCTCTGCGGCTGCGCAGGCAGAAGTCTCCGAGGGACAGGCTCACCTTTGCCCTACTTCCCCAGTCCGGCCCCAGCTTCCCGCCATCTCCATTGGCTGAGCCACCGCCCAATGGGCAGGCGGGGACCGTCGGCTCGCTCGCTCAGCCGAGGGCGTGCGTTCTCATCTCGCGAGCTTTGAGGTGATTGGCGGAGGCGGTGCTGCTCCGCCTGGCGCTGCGCTGCGGAGAAGCCGAGGGTGCAGCGGAGGCAGAGACCATGTTCCGAGCGGTGTTTCCAGGGCAGCTCCGGCGGGCGGTGAGTCCGGACGGGGAGGGAGAGCCCAGTGACGGTCCAGCCTCAAGCTGCAGTCCCTGTGAGGGTCATGGCGAAGGTCACCGGCTCGCACACACCCGACTAGCCCTCTGGCCGGCAAGCTCATTCTCTCCTGGGTCTCGGGCCCAAAGTTCTGGGGCGGCTCTTGAATCCTTCCGGGCAGCTAGCTCCGGCAGAAATAAACGTGAAGTAAAGGTCAGAGTGAAGGTGACCATAAGTATGAACTTGCTCTTCGGCTGCCCCTCCTCCCCGCCCACCCTTCCTAGATCACTCTGGGCACTTTCTGGCCGCCACGTCCTTTACCCGAGCAAAATGTCACCGCGGGGATGCCGTCGGGGAAGAGTTAAAAACCTGGATTCCTCCCAGAAGCCAAGTTCTGGAAGAAATAAACATTTTCACCGGCCGCTTTGTGGCTGGTCAGAGCATTCACTGTCGAGAGCGGGGGTTGGGGTGGGGGAGGGCGAAGTGTTTATGGAAATTCTGCTTTGTGGCTTACGGAGCAGGGCTGAGATTTTGCTTAAAGCCACTCTTCCAATTTGACAGCTGTAGCCAGTTTTGAAAAGCAGGCGTTCTTTTTACAATGCCTACTGACCGGCTTTTAGCGGACTGTAGGTTAAATAGCTAGGGAACTGTTGATAGTAGTACCTTTTCGATGTTTCAGTAGTGACAAGCCACATTTGTTGTAAGAAGGACTGATGGCACATACGTTTTTTGTCCTAATGCTGTTATAATTTATATTGTGGATTTTGTAGATTTCCTAATTTACACTTAGGTTAAATGAGAAACAAGATTATTAAAGTTGGGTCAGAGGCTTTCCTGGTGTTTTGTACCTTTTATACAATTTGTGTGGGAGTGTGTGCGCGCATTTGTATTTTCCCATCTACTACTGAGACTGTCTTTCTACATGTCTGAAGACATCTTTTTTTTTTTTTTCTTTTGTAGAGGTAAAGTCTCACTTTATCGCCCTTACTAGAGTGCCATGGCTACACACCGCTCACAGCAACCTCCAACTCCTGCCAGGGGTCCTCAAACTTTTTAAACAGGGGGCCCATTCACTGTCTCTCAGACCGTTGGAGGGCTGGACTGCGGGCCCAGGACAAGTCTGCTGCTAAGCAGCACAGGTAGCGGCGGCAAAAACACCCGGCGAGCCGGAAAGATGTCCTAGGTGGGCTGCATGTGGCCCGCGGGCCGTAGTTTGAGGATTCCTGGCTTAGGCGATTCTCTTGCCTCCCAAGTAGCTGGAACTACAGGCGCCCGCCCCAATGCCTGGGTATTGTTGTTGTTGTTGTTGCAGTTTGGCTGGGGGCTGGGTTTGAACCCACCACCGTTGATTTTTGGGGCCAGCGCCCTATCCACTGAGGCACAGGCGCTGCCTGACATCTTTTTCTTTTTCTCCTTCCTTTTTCCATAAAAAGTCCTGAGACTCCCTTCCTCTAAAAAGTTCAAACCTGCAGCTTTCAGGTCAGTGTTATGTCTTTCTTTTGGGGGAGATATTTTTTCTTTTTAGATGATCTAGACATAAATAAGTCAATGTCGTGAATTTGGGAAATTCAAGGAACCAGAGTACGACTTGCAGAAGAATCTTTGTCTATGCTGCAGTTGGAAGACAGTTTTGTGGACCGGTTGAGTTTGGCATAAGTGAAATAATTGTGGCTCGGCGCCTATAGCTCAACCGGCTAAGGCGCCAGCCACATACACCTAAGGTGGCGGGTTCAAATCCCCAGCCCGGACCCGCCAAACAACAAT